TCCAGTTTTTTCAAATGAACTGATTGTATTATTGAGATCTGTGATTGCAAGAAGAGATTTCTGGACACTCTATGGTATTGTTCGTGGTGCCGCCAGTCAGTTTGCCACTGTCTTGAAACGAGTCCTCAAAACTCACTCAGGATGTGTGCTAATTTCTGTGCATCTCAGCCCACCATCCACCGCGAAGGAGCCCTCCATTCTCGGTAATTCCAATGACTCCACCATCCCCTTTCACTATACGAGTTTTTGCTGTTCGTGTATCTGATCGTGTGCGCAAAGCGAGAACTTGTGTGATGACTTTGAGTGAGCAAAGTTGTCCGCTTGACAAATTCAGCGATGGATATCCACTGGACTCGTTTGGATCAGCGCAGCAGTGCGTACGTATGTGTCTGTGCGCGGCGTGTGCGCAACATGTTGTGTGTGCGCACGGCGTGCGTACTGTATGTGTGTGCGGGCTTTGTAAGCTATTATTTTGTGTGTTGATTGTGGTGCGTGTGTGTTGGTGTGCTGGGCTTGTTGTGGCGCGAGTGTGTGTGTGGTGTGTGCGTGTAAGTGTGTGTGGCGACAGCGCGTGTTGTGCGCGTGTTGTAGTGAGAGTAGGTTCACCTTTCGTCGTTGGCCATACTGAATTTAAGATGGCCATATGGTTTGACAGACATGTCAAATCATCATATGAAGTCGCATGTCAATCTCTGTGTATAAATTTCAGCGCCGAAGTCATTTAGAACCAATATAGTAATGTTCAATTGTTTCGTCATGGTAGCTCATATTGGAATTCAAAATGCTGACCAATGTTGTCAGACTTTCAAGATTCAATCCATTATTGAGTCAGCATGTGCAAATGCTCTTGGTGTACAAGTTTCAGCGCCGCAGTATTTAGAACCAAATAAGTAATGTTCAATTGTTTCATCATGGCGCCAATATTGGAATTCAAATGGCTGCATATGTTTGTCCACATGTCAAATATACATTATTGAATCAGCATGTACAAATGCTCTTGTGTACAAAATATGAAGCGCACATGTCATTAGTAGAACCCAAGATAGTAATGTTCAATGTTCGTCATGGTGGCCATATTGAATTAGGATGGCGGCGTTCATTAGTCAGATATCTCTTGGATCCGGCAATTTTGAAATCAGCGGCCCCTTTCTCCGGCCAAAAATACCGCTGTAGTCTCAAACTTCACCCACTTTGCCAGACTGGAACATTTGTTTCATACAATATCTGGCCCCACTATATGTGATCCTCTTAGCAATTGGCAGTCACGTTTTCCCATGCCATCTATTGGAATACCCTTATTCGCTTGTTCTTGATAAGACGGTGCGGACGTTAAATTGCAGCGTGCATAGATAGTCACATGATTAATTTGTACCTATGAGTTTGAGCAACGCTAAAATCCTGATATCTGAAGATTCCCTGTTCTCTCGCTGTTTTTCTCGTGAACATTTCGACCTATTTTTGTTACATATCTGCCCCACTACTATGGACTACACAAACCACACTTTATTATCGTTTGTGTTAAAACGTCGTCACCTCTCAAATACACGGACAACGTATAGGACCTATAGGTGACGACGAGCCAGTGCTTGGCGAAACATGATCGATCTGAACTTGTAAATAAAGCTAACTGCTACAAATTTTAGGCCGAGAATATCTCTGTGACTTTCTAAAATGTGATAGAAAATTGTTTCAATGTGTGTTAAATGTTCTCACACACAAATCATAACCAGTAAAGGAATGCGTAAGCCTGGTCATGAACGAAATAACTTCACTTCCGAGCAAATTTTGTGGAATATTAAGGGCCGGACACACTAGGCGATAAAATCGGGCGATAAAATCGGGCGACAAAATCGCCCGATTATATCGCGCGAGTCGAGTGGACACACTAGGCGATTAAATCGGGCGATTAAATCGGGCAATTAAATCGCCGGTGAATAAGTCGTGCGTGCGTGTGCACGTACACCTGCGTGCATTCATGCGTGCGTGTGTATGTAAACGTGCGTGCATGCGTGCGTGTGCACGTATACGTGCTTGCGTGCGTGCGTGCGTACACGTGCGTGCATGTGTGCGTGTGCACGTACACGTGCGTGCGTGCGTGCGTGCGTGCGTGTGCAAGTACACGTGGGTGCGTGCGTGCGTGCGTGTGTACGTACACGTGCGTTCGTGCGTGCGTGCGTGTGCACTTACACGTGCGTACATGCGTGCGTGTGCACGTACACGTGCGTACATGCGTGCGTGTGCACGTACACGTGCGCGCGTGCGTGTGAACGTACACGTGCGTGTCTGCGTGCATGTGTGCGTGTGTGCGTGCGTGTGCACGTTCACCTGCGTGCATGCGTGCGTGCGTACGTGCCTGCGTGCGTGTGCACGTACACCTGCGTGCATGCGTGCGTGCGTACGTGCCTGCGTGCGTGTGCACGTTCACCTGGGTGCATGCGTGCGTGCGTACGTGTCTGCGTGCGTGTGCAGGTACACGTTCGTGCGTGCGTGCGTGTGTGCGTGTGCAAGTACACGTGTGTGCATGTGTGCGTGCGTTCGTACGTGCGTGTGTGTACAGGTACACGTGCGTGCGTGCGTGCATGCATGTGCACGTAGACATGCGTGCGTATAGGTGTGCACGTACACGAGTGTGCATGCGTGCATGCGTGCGTGCGTGCGTGTGTGTGCACGTACACGTGCGTGCATGAGTGTGTGCGTGCGTGTGCACGTACACATGCGTGCGTGCGTGCGTGCATCGCTATTACATGACATGACATACTAAACATGAAACATATCGCTATTATGCGTCAGTATCATTGAACAACTCTGATTGGCTGATGAATTGTACAATCGGGCGTTTTTATCGCCGGCCCCGGACACACTAGGCGATTAAATCGGGCGACAAAATCGCCCGATAATATCAAAACGTTTTGATCTATGCGACAAAATCGGGCGACGAAATCGGCGGCGATTGAGTGGACACACTAGGCGATTTCACGGCGATTTTGTCGCCCGATTTTATCGCCCGATTTAAGCGCCTAGTGTGTCCGGCCCTTTAATGTCGAGTATTCAGTGTGGATTTACCTATTCAGTAATTGCATAACGGAGTTCAAACCAATGGAAAAAGCCGGTCAAAAATAACTGCATATCTGACGTAAACATATTGTACGGGGTAATAAGGGAGCACAATAGCTCAGAGCGCAAAACCTAATGAATAAGATAAGTAATAGTAGAACCGGCAGCACAGGGAGCAAAACATACTTAACAGACAGTCACGTATCTGCAGTAGTAATAATATATTTCTAAGCAAAGGAGAATGAGTATGGTTGGTGAAGCGGTAAGAAGCGTGGAAGATGGTGGAGGGTGGCACAATCCCGGACATCCAGCAGGACGACAAGATTAAAACTATCTATGACAGCACATGTTGGACCTCACTAATCCAGAAACCTTTAGACCATTGCAGATTAGAGGAAATTCCGAACCATCAAAGCTAAGGTTCAATTTATTTATACTAATTATAATACAACTTACATAAGCAGAAACCTAGTGCTATAGCACAAGTATATTGTACTATGACAAACGTTTACTGTACTATGACACAAAAATGAGTACATTATAGTAGATGAAACTAACGGCCACCAGATTCAAGTCGTGATTCTGAACCATTAGAGCTGTGAACCATCAGATTACAAACGAGTATAGGCTTCAACCTGTAATCAACACCCCATTAATTCTCAAGGTATTCCCCTCATTTCATTAATTCTCAGACTACGCTAACCCTAATTTCGTCCTGAATGGATCGAAAGGTCCTATAGAAATTGTAAGTAAATTAACTAATGTATACACACGTAGGGGAATGTAAGGCTTTTTATCCGCATCCTATTACAATCATAAACCAGAAAGGCACTCGGGGAGTACGTGGATCCTCCGCATACGCGATCACTATACACCTGTGATATTTTGCAGGCTGAGGTTGCTACTTAATTGTAATGGATGACATTGACCCTGGTTTGTTTTTTGTACTGAACCGAATCAACCGATCGACTATCTGCCTGTGCTTTTTTGTTTTTGGAGGTTTACGTGCATGTATGTATGATATTCATTGTGGGATGTCATTTATTTACGGCTGTCTTTCTGCTCCCTGGATTTGTTAATTCTAATAGAACAGAAATGCACACTTAGACATACATGCAACTTGCAAAGCAGATATATTGATTCATGTTTAATGCACATTTAACTACATATATATGAACAAGGAGGAATGTTAGCCCTCTAAATACATTGTACAAGCAATTAAAACAATAAAAATGGGGAAATTGTGTACGTGTATATTTGTATGAAATCTACAAATGCGCAATGTGCATGCTAAATGCACAACTACGAACTGGCTTCTTCTACAGCGCAGTGAACACTCTGCCACACACAACACGCCTGGAAATACCACATGGAACCCCCGCCCCACGTTAGCAATGGTACGGTCCTTCCGCTATGACCCAGCGTTGGAAATATACTTAATGACAATATATTGACAGTATATATACTTAATTATTATATGATAATAAGGTCAAGGTCAATCAGAATCAATAGGGTTTCAGCGCTCCATGAAATGCACATGTGGACCAAGTTTGAAGTGTCGTCTACCTTTTACGGTTGTAAAGATATCGAGCGGACAGCCGGGGGACAGACACACACACACACGCAGGCAGACAGGCACGCACGCACGCACGCACACACACCGCCACATACATACAGACGAGCACGAAAACAATATCCTCTGCTGCACTACGTGCGGAGGATAAATAATTGAATACCAATCGTATTTTTAATATGAGTGGTGGGGCTATCAACCCACGGGTACATTGCTACATAATACATTTTATTCATAACTACAAAAAGTCAATTGGGAATGCGAGTAGGTATCGAGTAGGCAAAACGACTGCCACATGCGTTTCTTATTGCCAGACCAGTTGAATTAGATCAATAAATGTCAGTACCGACAAATCTTGCAAGATGGTACATACCCTCTCTTCAAACCGCTGCATCTCTTCGCTGCAGTCTTTCAGAAAGAAGTCCTCAATGAGGAGAAACCTGAGGTTTGGCATGGCATCTACAAGGTAGTGGGAGTCAGGTGATCCTGCACTTATGCAGTTCTCAACCAGCCTCAGCCCCCAGTCGAGGGTCAGCTTTGTTGGATCCTCCTACACGGTACATGCACACTCTTAGAGACAACAGAGATTTCACTGGTATATATATCTGCTAAACGCCCTACTTGCACTTTAGGGCCAGATTTGGTGGAGGGGGTGCTTCAGGCAAAGCCATGTATTTTTTGCCATTTTTATTTACAGGCAATTTAGTGTATATTTAATAACATATAAATTAACTGCTCTCAGGGTCCCTCAAAAATTACAAACTTGTATATTATATATAGCATTTTAAATAAAGACTTTTTTTACTTGAATTTGCTACGATAAACTTCATCAGATTAGGCAATAAAACACATCAATTTGATGATATCACATAATATCAAATTTTCGGAAATGACAAGATCTGTAAGTACTACTACTAGTTTTTAACCATGATCCCATGTTGCAGCACAAATTGTCCACAGCAAATTGTCGTCTGGCCGAAAATTTGATCGTGACTTGCTCTTTGCGTTCCCAATTTTTAATCTCACTGCATGGCAACAATTTGTGCAGGCAAAATGAAACCTAAAGCCTGCCGCCCACACGTGTGTGTTCTTAGTGCTGACGCCATTCAGAGCCACGCGTGGCTATGGCGCTCAGCACAAAAACACACCGTGTGCTCGCGTGTGCAAACACGCGATTTCTGCGTGTGGAAATATCACACGTGTTGATTTTTCTCACGTGGCTTGGATGCATTCCACCAAGGTGTGCGGTGTGCCTGTGTCAAGTTCACACGGGCTCTATGTAACCGACCAATAGCAGCAGGTCAAGCGAGGTCACGTGATCTTAATGCGGGTTGCGCGCGGTGGCATGCGGTACACGCACGTACACGCAGATACACGCACGTACAACCGCGCGGTACACGCACGTAACGCAGAGTACACGACGTGCACGCGCGGTACACGCACGTATCACGCGGGTACACGCACGTACACGCAAGCGTACACGCAGTACACGCGGGTACACCGGTACACGTACGTACACGCACGTACACCAACGTAAACGACCTGTTACACGCGCGTACACGCACGTACACGCAATACACGACGTACACACAGATACACGCAGGTTACCGCGGGTACCACGCCACGTGCCGCGCGGTACACGCATCGTACACGCGACGTTACACGATATACACGCCAGTACACGCCACGTACACGGGTACACGCAAGTACAACGCAGATACACGCACGTGCACGCGGGTCACGCAGTACACGCGGTACACGCACGTACACGAAGGATTACACGCACGTACACGCGGGTACACGCGGATTACACGTAGTAACGCACGTACAGCACGTACACGCCGTACCGCGGCGTACACGCACGTACACGCAAATACACGCTCGTACACACAGATACACGCACGTACACGCGGGTAAACGCAGTGATCAGTTGCGTGTATCTCCGTGTTTCCCGCGTGTACAGTGCGTGTACCGCGTGTACGTGCGTGTTATTCTGTGTACGTGCGTGTATCTGCGTGTACAGTGCAGTGTCCCGCGTGTCGTGTCGACGTTACGTGCGTGTTATCTCGCTGTTACCGCGCGCGCCGATGTACGTGCGTGCTACCCTGTTCCGTGCGTTTACCCGCGTGTACAGTGGCGTGTATCTGTGTCGTACGAGGTGTATCTGGTGCTACGTGGTGTACCGGTGACGTGCGTGTACGATGCGTGTACTTTGCGTGTACTCGTGCGTGTACGTACGTGTATCCGCGAGTGTACCGCGTGTACGTAGGTGTAACACTGCGGTACGTGCGTGTACCGGTCATGTACGTGAGTTACTCGCGTGTACGTGCGTGTATCTGCTGACGTGGTGTACCGCAGCTGCAACCGCGCCTCTAACGCAAGTTAAGATCACCAGTTGACGTCGCATTGAACCTGCTTCTTTGGTCCGGTCTACATAGAGCCGGTGTGAACTTGACACAGCAAGACACACCCGCACACGCTGTGGAAATTGCCACACGTGAAGAAAAAATCAAACACGCTGTGATTTTTTCCACACGCAAGAAATCGCTGCATGTTTGCATGCCACACGGTGTGTTTTGGTGACTGCGCATCGAGCACAAGCGTGGCCGATGGCGCAGCACAAAACCACCAGTGTGCGGCAGGACTAACTCTACAAATATCGCGCTTGCCACGAAATTGTCGTCAGTCGCTGTCTGTCAAGCTCAGAAAGATAATGACGATTACAAGATGATGGATATGGATGATGTGGATGATGAGATGAATAATGATGGATGATAATGATTGATAATGATGCATTGATGATAATTAGATCAGTGTTGGGGGATCGAGCCGGCCTCGCGGCGTCCATACACGCACGCACGCACGACGCACGCACGCACGCACGCACGACGCACAATGTGCACAACGACATCACACCCACACAATCACACACCACGTAACGTGTGCACACACACACACACACACTCATGGCTTTGAACAGGATCGTATAATGTGCTTCGATGGCTGGCGACAATTTGTGGTGTCAGCTCCCTCACAAATTGTCGTCGGTGCCGACGACAATTTGTGAGGGAGGCGACAATTTGTGGTGTGAGGCTTAAAATTTTGAACAAATTGTCGCCGACGACAATTTGTGCAGGGACGACAATTTGTGGTGCAACATCCCACCTAGTCATACATAACTCAACAGAAAATTTAATTATTTACTTTTAATTAAATAAAGAAGATATTTTAATGAAGATATGTATATGACATGCAGTGTTTTCACTATACGTAGTAGCATGCTGGCTGCATCAACCAGGAATCTTGCTTGCTGGGATGCACTGACTACCTTTGCCATATTAATACCACTCATGTGCTAGCCCATAAAGAAAAATTACCCGCAACATTTTCTGTATTGCGATGGTAGTGTCGATCTTATGGGTGGTGTGTGAGTTTTCAATATTTTTCGGTAGTTGCTGCAGTACGAGTTCTTCGATGCTCAGAAGAGTAAAGCCATACATGGCAACCAAGTCATCAATTATCCGTCCCTTACGAGAACCTGGTCCACCTACCACAAAAAAATATAACACGTACGCATCTATACATGAAAATATGGTGCAATAAGTATAACTAATGATGGGTATATCACAGATGATCAATGCAACTCTCTGACTAACAGCACTTAATTTGCCTAACGTTATTTCAGTTACAGGATACACACATAACCTAATTACAGTAATTGGTTAGAATCATATTTCAATTGTACATAAAGGAAATACGAAAATTAAAGTTGCCTGGTACAAAATTGTCACCATCTGTCATGCAGCGTTGAAATACTATTGTGCAAGTGCATCTTCGCACACAGGTGTAATCAATCAGGTATACAATGTTAGTGTACGAACTTTCTCATTTGAATTTTGATATATAAAAAGCTGTAGTGATTTATGCCTCAGGCTAGTATCAGTCCATTCACTTTTAGATATAGCATTACCATCGGAAGCCAGCTCCGGGCAATAGGTGAAAATAACCGTCAATTGAGAAAAGGTTTAGAAGTGCGTGTGGTAGGTTACAACCTAAATTAATTTGAGCTTGACTCACATGCATCTACTTGAAATATTAAGTCCTATATAATTTATAAACGCAGGCAAACAATTACCATTGAAAATATGGGAGAATAGAAAAGAATGTATTCTATTATCAGGACTTAAAATTACTAACTTATGACTATATATATACTTAGGATACGATTATAGAAAGGAAGCCAAATTCACTGGTAATGTGGGGGAAGCACTAATACATGGATTACAGAAAGACAACTGGACAACTGTAAGTGTAATGCAGGTGCGCTATATAAATTGTTAGCACTTGGCATCTATTAAAATATGATCGATGATTTGCTACCAGTAGTCAAGTGACAGTATGAAGGACAGCAAATTGAAGAAAGAGGTGAAAGAACAGTGAAATACCAAATAGGATAATTACATAATAAGTCATTATGGTTATGAGGCTGCATGTTAGCAGTGAGATGTGCAGGGGAGTCCTGAAAGATTGTTAAACATGACAGTTATATAATAGCAAATTGTTATCATTTCCTTTTTATAAACAACAGTGACACAAATCAATGTGGCTACTGACACTGGAGAATGTTTTAGGGTTTCAGCATAACTCATCAGTGCCATTGCTTGCAATGATTGCCCAGATCATTACAGCTCATTACCCTAGATAATATAACAGATGAGATGCTGTGTGAGTGTGAGTGGACAGCACAAGTGCATCTTATCTCGCAGGTTCACTCAGGTATATCACACCAGGCCGTGCAATTAAAAAAATATTTGTTTGCCCTCACCCGACCCAGGCTGAAAAGTTTGGGTAGGTAAGTAGGCTTCTTTTTTTAAGGGGGTCTTTTTACAAATTCAGCATGCATGGTGTCTACATGCTCGGGTGCATGTGCTTGTGTGGAGATACCTTTTATGTTGAATGTTTGTTTGGCTTGGTACATATAATGTATTGCCTACAGATTTATATATATAACGTAGAGCTGACTATTCTCGATGGTGAAATATTAGCTGTCAAGGATGAGTTCAAGTACCTAGGCTCGTATATCAGCTCGTCAGGTAAAGATATTGGCGTGAGAAAGGCCCAGGCTTGGCATGCGCTCCACAAGCTGAACAACATCGATCTGGAACTCAAATATGGCGGAAGGGCTAAAAAAGCGTATCTTCGTGGCCTCGGTAGAATCAATTCTCACCTACGGATGCGAGGCCTGGACATTAACAGTACGAGACGAGACCAGACTTGATGGATGCTACACGAGTATGCCCCGAAAAGTATGTGATGTCACCTGGCAGGATCGTGTTCCGAATGAGGTGCTTTATGGGGAACTATACCACCGCTCTCCTCTAAGTCTAAGATACGATCGAGAAGATTGCATTCCGACACAGTAATGTTGCCGCGCACGACTTGGTTCTCTGGGAACCTCGACAGGGTCAGGCTTCTCGGGGCGGCCAGCGACTGACGTGCATCGACCAACTCAGACAAGATACTGGCCTGCAGTCAGCCGATAAAATTCGGTTAATTATGCTGCACAGACGATCCTGGCATGCCATCACCATTCTTCCCGAGGAGACTCGACCTGATTGATATTATATATAATGTACAGTGATACAATTTGTAAAAAAAAAAAGAATGGGAAAGATCAATTTAACATTTTTTGAGTCGGCCCCTTTTTGGCGGTCGGTCAGGCGAGGGCAAACAAACAATATTTTTATTATGGACCCACGAATTCATATAAACTGTGTTTGCTATAAACAAGTTTATATGCTTGATCACATAGATAATATCAGGAGTAAGATAATATAGAAACTATTAGAATTCTATATATAGAATTCTATATTATCTTACTCCTGATAATATCAGGAGTAGATCAGAATTAATCTGAATTTAAATTGACGTCAAACTACTAGGACACCATGTAAACTCTACAGAATTCGTGTTAAGCATGCCTTTGGAATATGCAGAAATTATATTTACATATATTGTCGTAGCTTTCAGTCAGATTTGATATGGTGAAAAATAATCTGCAGCTACTTCCAAAATCCAATTATCCTTCTTAAAAATACAGTAATTCCTATAGGCAATTGTTCAGGATACATTTTTTTAAGGCTGTTGCTCCTGCAACGGTACCGTCGCCGATTTTTTTTCTCTTAAAGTCACGGTAGTGATGCCAGCGCCATCTATCGGCGAATAATAACTACCGTTGCTTTTAGTACGATATTATATATACGATTTTATACGATATATACGATAACCCTAACCCTAACCCTAACCCTAACCCTAACCTAACCCTAACCCTAACCCTATTAAATTAATAAAATTTAATTTTTAATTGTTGTAAAAATTAATTGTTGTTATTAAAATGTTGTAAATAAATCATGTAAATATTTGCGTTAATTGAAAAAAAAAAGTTAAACAGATAAAGATAGAAAAATACAGAAAACAGGAAAATAATTAGAAAACGGATGGGATTCGATCCTGCGACCATTCATACTTGGCGCTAGCGTTGTAACCATTACGCTGCTGCGACATATTGAAATTGAAATTTTGGATGTGCTATGTATATCGCGAGAAAACAAGCTCAACCAATCAGGCGTCAGTACCGTCAGTACCGTGACTTTAAGAGAAAAAACATCGGCGACGGTACCGTTGCAGGAGCAACAGCCTTTTTTTAAACCTTGTGGTTAGAAAAACATCCAAAAGCTACAAGCGAATTAAAATAAGGGTATTACACTGCCAAGGTTATATACTTGCTGGGTACTTCACAGATCGTAAACGCACCGTTATTTTTTTTAAAGTGTATAAAAAATCTTAGCTATACAGATTCGCTTTAGGTACTTAAAAGTACCAAAAGCGAAACTGTATAGCTAGGATTTTTTACTGATCTGTAATTCATACTATACTAGAGTAGTAACCAGTAGTTGAAGTTTGTTGAAGTTTACATTAAAATGGTGCAAAATTGGATAATAATTATGAGCATGAGCATCAACGTTTATGATATGAGTGTAGTTGTGTAGTACTAGTAGCTCCATAAAATGGCAATACATCTAAATACCATTCTAAACTCTTGCTATACAAAACCTTAGATAGTCGATTCAGTTTTCAAACATCGCCGTGCAGCTTTCACAACATGCAATAGTGCAAATGAATCACTAAACCTTTAGCCTGGTAACAGTAACTCGGCCTTACTGGGCACTGCATGGTTATTTACCAATTTATTAGCTAGTCTATGAAACAAAGTTAGTGCAATCACAGCGCCACGTGCGTCGATCCAGCTCGGTTCGATCCAAAATTAGAAATAAACTAACAGTTGATTTTAAGACAATGCTTAACACATGGCATCACTGTGCAACTAGAATTTTGGTTTCAACTGTTAAACTCGTGTCGTTTTTGTGTTTTCCGCGTCCTGATGGAATTTACAGTGCAGTGTTTCACCTGTGCACATTGACACGAGAGAGACGGGCCGCCTCGCTCAAATTCTCAGCCGCCACACAAAAATTTGTCCAAAACACTGACTCGCTGAAGAAAATCACCGTTCTTCCATAGAACAACTGGTGCTTATAATGCACCAAATTGCACCAATTTTTCAAAAAAATTCTGGGGGGAGCATTCCCCCGGATCCGCCTAGCTGGGCAAGCACTGGTCAGCAGTGCTCGCTTTGCTAGGACCTCGAAATGCACAAACACACCAAAACAAAATTAACCACCTCACAGACCTTTTTGGCCAGGTGAAACACTGCACAGTGTATATATATCTCGTAACCTTGTAATGATATTTTTCAAAGGGGATTCAATGTCCAAGTGCCTACCTATAACCTATTATCTACTTCTGATATATATAGAGTCCATAATAGAGTCCATATATATATATAGAGTCCATAGTAGTCTCTATTATGGACTCTTGATATATATATATATGACATACTGACATGACATAGAATCTCAGGGTGCAAAATTAACGGGAGTCCGGAGTCAAGTACTCCCTGATTTACTGTCGGACTCCCTGATTTGACATATATGCAGGAGTCCGTGTGACTCCCTGAAAATTCTGCCATACTGACTAGTTCGTTCCAGAGCACGGCCTCGCAGAATTACCATATTTTTTCAGGTAATGCCCAAAGAAAATTTGGCAGACTTGCATGAATTTTAAAAATAAGCACACGCGGGCGTTATTGTTAATATCTTTTCAATTTTAAACCTTAGACTGCGGACTCCCTCATTTTGCCGCGGACTCCCTCTTTTTGAGGGTAAGGAGTCCGTTGAACTCCTGTGTTCAAACGTTAATTTCTACCCCTGGAATCTTAGAGCTGTGTGTGCAAATTTAGAGTGTGGCCTCGCCAGAATACGGTAACTAACGTGAAAACCATGTCGTCGAAAAGTATGAATTATGTCAAAACAAAGGAAGCTACGCGGTTTGTAATACTACCGGAAGATAGAATAAGGACCAGTGAACAAAAGAAGCTCATGTTTGTATACATTTGTATTTTTATTCACATCGAACTCGTACGACAAAAATGTAGTGAAATCAGTACCAAATCGCTGTCTTACTCCTTTGTCATTATACGCTCCTGATATGATATACACAGGGCCGTAGGCTGCGGGGGCAAGGGGACAGCTGCCCCCTAAATTGTGGATCAAAATTTAAAAAATTAATTTTTCTACTAAAAGAGAATTGTCGTAGTCAGAATGAAGGCTGTACATGTACTCAAAAGTGCCTCAAATACCATCTCCTGCAATCTACATTTTCAAAATGTTCTGTGGGAGGACCCCAGACCACCCAGTGCCCCACCTCTTTCTCACCCCTCCTTGAAATCCTGGATCCGCCACTGACCTCCCCCCCCCCTAAGAATTTGCTCAGCGTACGGCCGTGATACATGATATCAGAAGGATGTCATATAGTGTAGCGCCTATATTACTATTACTATTAGCTCTAGTACTATAGCCCGCGGATCGCTGCCGCAGGGGCAGCGATCCGCGCGGGCTACAGTACTAGAGCTAGGCCTATATAATAGTATATTTAATGATAGACTCCTATTCCGTCTATTGATAGACTCCTACTAAAATATATCTAATATATTTGTCTTCGTAAATTTATCCTTTGTAATTAAAAAAAAGCGCTAAACTCACCGAATATGAAGACAATTTTTGGTTTGATAGAATCTGGATTTTCCACACTCACGCCAACACGAATGCTGATCTTGGGTCGACGATAGTTGACAATCTCATTTCGGCCGTTGTCCGCACTTCCACCGCAGCCCATAATAAACTAAGTCATTCACATGATTGCGCGTCCTCTGTGTTTACTTTATACTCACATCATACAGGTTTATCATGTCAACCTATCATATTCACCTGAAAAGTGATTACCACACTGCTCTTCTCACAAGTCAAACAGCAAAGCAAAGCATCTTAGGTACTTCTAGCAGGTTAGGTCAGAGCACGTATTAGACTGGTACCCGTTCGCCACCTTCACTCCGGCATATATCCTTCGCTACACTGACTACGCTGTTAGTGTAGCGTGTGGAACTGTCGACCGGGTACCAGTCTAAGCACGTATATGACGATCACTAGCCATTTGGCATTTAAAATTGAACTGGTGCTGCCACCTAGGGACTGCAGTTTGAACACAGGTGTTCAGGAAGGTGTTCAGGAGTCTATCAATAATTGATATACTCCTGATGTGTTGTATATATCCACTGATCTCTATAATATAATATTTATTATATAAATTATTATAGATATTATTAGATATTATTATATATATCTATTATATTATATAGATCAGTGTATATATCTATGATACCACCATAGATATAATATTATACAAAGTAACAGTATTGATATACGTGCTCTGGTTGATATTAAATTATTATTGTAATTTATTATACACCGTAACAAAATTACATCATCACAATCTTACAAGTGATGCAATTTCAATGTTTTCATGTTTCCTGTTTTTTTCTTTTGGGCTGCTCTGTGAATGATTCGTTAAAAAAAATTTGTGCATAAAATACGCATTTGAACAAATCTCTCACTGATCGTCCTAGCAATGTCTAGACACACTGGATTCGTGTTTTTAAACCTATATCAAACGTGCAAATAGATTTTATGTAACTGAAATTATTTTCCTTATTCCAGGCATGTGCAACCCTTTTGGAATCAAGGGCGTAGCTAGGGAGTAATGGATGTGTACGCACACAGGCGGGGCGTATGGGGGGGGGTCCACCCCCAGAACATTTTGGAAATGTAGATCGCAGGAGATGGTATTTGAGGCACTTTTGAGTAAATGAACAGCCTTCATTCTGCGTACGACAATTATCTTTTTAGTAGAACTATTCTCTTCATGAGCAACAGATTGTGATCACTAAGATCACTATAACTATAATCATGTAATTTTCGGTTTTATTATCAAGAACATGTTGAACTAACACACTATTTCTTAAACTCTCTCTTTTCTCTCTATCTCTCTCGACCATGTCTCTCTCTCTTCTCTCTCATCTCTCTCTCTCTCTCTTCTCTCTCTCTCTCTCTCTCTCTCTCTCTCTCTCTCTCTCTCTCTCTCTCTCTCTCTCTCTCTCTCTCTCTCTCTCTCTCTCTCTCTCTCTCTCTCTCTCTCTCTCTCTCTCTCTCTCTTCTCTCTCTCTCTCTCGCCCTCTCTCTCTCCCTGCAATAAAAAAGAAGTTTGGTGAAATGATGTGTACGCAACTGCGTATCTGCGTTATGGCAGCTACGCCCCTGGGAAAACAAGCCACAAATGTGTCTTCACATTTTTCAATAAAATTTTCATGCTTTTGTAGGCATGCACAAACTGCCAAGATCACCAGGTAAATCAGTATACGCCTTGCAGTATAAAAATACAGAACGTGAGTCGTTATTTTAAAATGCACCTGCAGTTTGCAGCAAGGCCTTGCATTCATCACAGCTATGTTTACGTAAGTGTTTGTGAACAATATAGTATACTATACCGTATTGTACATACATAATTGGTATTCTGGTATATAGGATGAAGTGAGGGTGTGATCTCATGACAGTCATGCCCGTTCACTGTATTAGGGTAAGCAGTACTAGTGTTGCTGAAATTGAATGCAGATAACTTATTTACCTCTAGCAGGAAGCTACGTAAATCATTTTGGCTGTTTGTCTCTGTTGAAGGTGAAATAAGCATCTTTACCATACAGTGTTTGAAACTGTCCATAAACTGGCTTGGCTTGGGGTTCTCACAGAAACCAAATTTCTTCCGAATAACAGTGAAAAATATCTCTAAACTCTCGTGGTTAAGACGTCTAATGAGTAAGAACGTTTATGTTTTCTTTCTTGGTTAATATATTTCACATCGAAATCAAACTATTTATACCATTCCCTTTGGCGGTAAATCGCCGATGTGGCCGCGCCCTATCCATGTACAGTATAGTAAAGGAAGGAATCTTTCTCCAAGAATTGCCGCGACATTGAAGTAGCGAGGGTGCGATTTGCGATGCTCACCTACTGTTGGCATAGCACACTCCTTTTGAAATGCTTAACGTCGGCCCTACGTCATTTCCATTGGCCACAAATCGCCGATATGTCCGCGCCCTTATCCATGCATGTACGTTAGTATAGCAAGGAAGCTTTCTCCGAGAATAGCCGCGACATTGAAGTAGCGAGGGTGCGATTTGCGATGCTGACCTACTGTTGGCATAGCACACTTCTTTTGAAATGCTTAACGTCGGCCCTACGTCATTTCCATTGGCCACAAACCGCCGACGTGCCGCGCCCTATCCATGCATGTACATTAGTATAGCAAGGAAGCTTTCTCAGGTAATTGCCGCGACATTGAAGTAGCGAGGTAACGATTTGCGATATTCACCTACTGTTGGCATGGCACACTCCTTTTGAAATGCCACCATGAAATCAACATGAAGAGCTGAACATGTCAACGTCACTGGTTAATGCTTAAGTCGGAGACGGTATGTGGCAGTCACACGCGCGCTCGCGCACACACACCCACACGCGCACGCACACACGTACACACAGACGTACACATGCACACGCGCACACACACACACACGCACACACGCACACACACGAACGGACGCAAAACCTACATGCACACGAACGTGTTTCGAACACATACATACACATCAAGAGCGTATTAAGTGCATATATAGTCAGTGTATTTAAACAGTGTACTCAGAACCGAAATATAAGTTTGTTTACTGCAGATCTTTCATTCTGCAGGTAAGATTTAACAGTCACCATGAAGAGCTGAACATGTGGCAGTCACACACGCGCGTGTACACGCTCACACACACACTCACACACTTACACACACACACACACACACACACACACACACACACACACACACACACACACACACACACACACACACACACACACACACACACACACACACACACGACCACGACACCACA